ATATATATATATATATATATATTCTTCCACATGCATAAAGTCACGTTCTGCACATACTAGCAATTATCAAATTATCATGCTATCACGTAATTAAATACATTGGGTAATAACCAGGATCTGGTTATCACACACACACACACACACACATATATATATATATATATATATATATTAAAGGAACTCACATGTAATTTTTTCATAAAATGAACAAATATATGTAAAATAATATCTTAGCTCATAGTTTTTGATGATAAACATAATGCAAAAAATTATTTTTTATATCAATTCTTACAAATTTATAACATTTTTGTGGTTTCCATTTGATTATCATCCCTCCTAAAAAACACACACACAGATGTATGTGTATATATATATATATATATATATATATATAAATTTTAATATATAAATCTAGAAAAGCTATTACAATCATATATATATATATATATATATATAAATCAATTTATTTTATTTTTTTAATTTGCATTATATCAATCTTTTCTTTTCTCTCTCAATAATTTAAAATGTAGTGACGATAAATAATATTAATTGATCAATATTTATTAATTTACATTGACTTCGAACTTACAAAATGCAACCTCTCTCTCGATGTAATATATATATATATATATATATATATCATCAATATAATAAGTAGAATATTAATGATAGTAAATAACATTTATTGATTAATATTTAAAAACATTTATTTATTAATTTGTACTTTAAATTTTTTATTAATGTATGTTTAAGTCCTCAAATATATATCCACAATTTTATAAATGTGTAATCATTACACTTTTTAATTAATTAAAGGGAAATTGCACGAAAAAGTAACGTATTTTAACTTGATTCATATTTTATGTAACGTACTTTCAAAACTTCCATTTTAGTATCTAAGATGTACAGTTTTAAACAGTTAAGTACCGAGTAACCGGTTGAAACATTAAACGGTTACCATGCTGATGTGGCGAGTGATGTGGTATCAACTCAGTATTATTTGCTGAAGCATTAACCAGATACCATATCACTCGCCACATCAACATGATAACCGATTAATGTTTCAACCGGTTACCCAAGTATTTAATGTATAAAACTTTACATCTTAGACATCAAAATGGAAGTTTTTAAAATATGTTATCCAAAATARGAATCAAGTTAAAGTATATTACTTTTTCATGCAATTTGCCATTAACTAAATGACAATTTTATCATTCATAATTGAAAGATTAATGAATTTTCTATCTCATAATTAAGACTAGAGTTGAAAAGTAGACATTACTTTTTGAAAGTGAACATTTACTTTGAGACAAACTAAAATAGAAACATGGACACTTATTTTGAGACAGACGAAGTATTTGTTTTTGTTATTTGTAGACATCATTCGTCTTCTAACAATGAATTATTTTTTATAGTAACTTATATGTATTAATAATCGTTTAATATCTTATCATATCATTTATAGACTAAGTTTTTATTTACCACATTTTTTGTACATATAATTAGTTACTGTACGATTTAGATGTATAGTTATTTATATTTTTAATAAAAATTGGTGGAAGCATCATCCTCTTTTTAAAAAGAAATAAACTTCATCATCAATCAGACAAACAAAACATAAGTTATCCACACTCCTGTTGTTACTGTTACTCATTTTATTTAATTTTACAACTTTATTCTTAAACAAATCTCTCTCTCTCTCTCTCTCTCTCTATATATATATATATATATATCAAAATTTCACTAATTAGATTTTATTAGTTTTTTTTCTTCGAATTATTTGAATATATTTGTTGATGGTTCTATTAACAATTAACATATATTTATATAGACAATCTTCGGAACATTAACCAAAGTACTCATATTACCGTGCAACGCACGGTTCCCACATTAGTTCTTTTTAATAACAAAAGTAATTATGCGGCAACGGTAAACAATAATTCTGCATCTCAATCGTAAGTTTTCTTATTATGCAGAATAAGAGAACATAGAGATAAATAGAATTAATTGCATTAAAGAATGTCATTTAATACACATAAAAAGGCTATTGCTAATCAAATAATAATAATTTCATAGACATCAAAAAACTCTCTTCCAAAAAGAACCCAATCTCTATTTTAATGTTCTTTATTGCAAAAATATGAATTAGTGACCAAATCGATATGAAGCAAAGAATAATAAGATGCATTATTGGGGTTGTTATGATGTACAATATATATATATATATATATTTATATATATATTAAAACCACACTCTGATATCAAATGTAAATCAAATAACATAAACAGTAATAGGATCGAATTATCATTATTATGGAAAACATCCATGACTTTAATCTAGAAGATGAATAGTAAACTTACTTGTAGGAACACTTGAAATTGTCTTACTTGATGAAGCCGTAATCACTCTTAATAATCTCTTTGATGCCAATCAACTATGATGGAGTTACAATTTTGTTATTGTGTTAAAGTCTCCACAATAAATGGTGCATTCAATTCAATTCAAGAAGAATGAAGGAGACCATATGTATATGTATATATATATATATATATATATATATATATATATATATATTGACATCAAGAGGATTAAGGAAGAGATAACCACAAAATATAGTTATTTACAGTCGGTTACAGTCGGTTACAGGGACCGATATTGTCCATCGAGATAATCGGAGGGCCTGTATGTAACTAAGTCATAACCAAGATAATTAAATTAAACATTTATCACTAATATGAGATTAACATAAATATTAATATAAATAGTCTAGGCCATTAAGATATAACAATTTTCTAACAAAACAGATTAGTGATTTTAGTTTTTGTATTAAATGATCAAATTGTTTAAATGAATGATAATTTGGTAATTAGCAATTCTATTATCCATAAAATTAGAGCAAATCTGAATCACGTCAACAAAAACGCATTCCTTGGTGGAGATTCTGAAATCGATACCTTATTACCAGCATTGATTACGTCTTCGATTTCTTGTTTTTGGTACTCGATTTCCTGATTAGCTTCGATTTGTTTCGATTCCCATAAGCTTTTTCGGTTTTCCGCCATCCTCACATCAAAACAAAAGAATTCTTCTCCAAATGCATCGGAAACACTTCGGTTCGAGTTTTTGAAACGATCTGCAATGGAGGAAGGCGGTGTTTGTTTGTCGTTGGAGCGTCAAATTCAGACTTGGCTGATGCACATGCATTTAGGGGAAGATGCTTCTAGGGTTGTGTTGTTATTAGTGTTGATTTTACAAATAAACACAGGGTTTCATATATGTATTACTATTTGATTTTGCGTTTGTCTAGTAAATTCAGATGTAAAGAGGACCCAAAACAATTGGTATCATATGAGAATTAATTAAATAGTTCATATGTGAATTTATGATTTCATATGTGAATCAGTTAAATAATTCATATGTGAACCATATGAGTTCATATATGCATTTATAGTTCATATGTGAATCAGTTAAAGTAGTTTATATATGAATCACACTGGTTCACACATACACATATCGTTCATATGTGAATCAATTAAATAACTCATATGTGAATCACATGGACTCACATATGCATGTATAATTCATATTCAAATCATACGAGTTCAAATATGCACATATAGTTCATATGTAAATGATATGGGTTCACATATGCATTTATTTGCCACCTATTTATAAGACTCCTGCAACTACCTATTTATCTTCCACATAGTTGTTACCATGCGACCAAATTATATGGTGATGCACAACCAACCCCTCAAATCTTGATAGTTAATTTTTTAGTGGAAGGGCTAGGATCACTTCTCTACTTCTCATATATATGATGTTTCTTAAATGAACATATGACAATATATACATATATACATACATATATATATATATATATAGGGTTGGGTTCACGTGAGACCAGCCTATTTTCGTGAGACCCGTGAGACCACATTTTTACACATAAACTTCACAGCAAAAATGCTGTGAAGGTTTAAAAAAAGTCAAATCTTCACAGCAAAAACACTGTGAAGGTTTTAAAAGTTACCTTCACAGCATTTTGCTGTCAAGTTTTAAGTGTAAAATGCTGGTCTCACGGGTCTCACGAAAACAGGCTGGTCTCACATGATCCCAAGTCTATATATATATATATATATATATATATTAGTTCCAATAATTTGTTAAATTTATACTTTTATATCTTGTTATGCCAACACACTTAACTTAGTCAATTAAAGCAAACCATGAATTGAATTCAAACTTTACTGGGTTAAAATGTGGTTCATAAAAAAAAACGTGCTAATGTGCTTCAAGGGTTGGGTTTTATTGAGAACCGAAGTTATTGTGAAAAGAGTAAGAATGAATCTCCACCTTTGAATCAATCCTAATTGAATATCAAAATCGATCCTAATTGAATATCAACACTAAGTGGTGCATCTCTCAATTCCGGTGATAAGCGCAATTCATGGGGTGAAATGAGATTAAAAGTGATTAAGGGTCCATGTCCCTTCTTACGCTTATTACCTAAACTCCTATTCTCATACGATCATGCATCTGTGCTTTGTCAAAGAGAAAGAAGTTCTCAACAACCAAATTGTTTGGTTAATAAGAAGTGACCATGGGTGGAAAGAAGTATACCCACTTCGTTTCAAGTATGGGTGAAAAAACTGGTGGACTTGACCAAGTTAGCCATGTGGCACTAAAGATTGGCCATACATTGATCTATAGTCATCAGATTGACTATGCTTAGTTGATCTTTGATGATTTGGTGGTCAAGGTCAACAAAAGGCAAATGGAATGGGTCATTCCTTACATCCGTTTCCTCAATGACATATTTTCTAGTATATTTGAATATTACCCTAAGGAAGGTGATTAGGCCCTATACAAGATTGACATCAGGGCCCTTGATCACAATATCTCTAAAGGTGATCGTTTGTTGTTCCCATGTATGCTTCTTATCTTTAACACTTATCTTCCTCCTTATTATTCTTTGTCTTCTCAGGGAGCTACAGTACTAAGAGAACTTAATGTCTACCTATGCCTCCAACCCCCCATCCTCTAAGAAGACACAATTTGAAACCCATCTTAGTTTACTAAATTGAACTAGGAAAACCAAAAGGGTTAAAACCTCTCATCTTAGTAGAGCCTCTCGATAGGCTACCTTCATTGAAACTTGCCTCACACCTAAAGCATCTACAAACTAACCTAGACCTTCTATGGTTTCTTCCAATGCCGCAATTGTATCAGCGGACACTACCCTACCATTCACATCAGTGACTCTAATCACTGATTGTGTTAGAACCCAGATACTCTTAATTAACAGAAACACAGTTTATGTAATGTGAATGATGAACAAACGATGTATTTCAAATGATTAAACAAAATATTCAAAGATGAAAGTAAAGTAGTAAATAAACTTTGAATATACCGAATGCTTTTATTGATAAATGATGAACAATTTGAAGCACAAAAGTAATCTCAAAGAAATTTGCGTATAGTATAAGTCGGTTCCTTTAGGTACTTTAAACCTAAGGAGGAAGCCTCCTTATATACGCCTAGGCCTAACAGACTATTCTATTAAAAAGGCATGAAACTCTGAGCTGACTGGTCTGCATCCTTATCTTTGACTTCCCTTGAATAGCGGAGCAAACTTGGTCAAGCCGCCTTAAATCTGTTAGACGCTTGCGAGATTGTCTGAGCTAACATGCGCACGTTCCATGAAGAAGGTAGCAAGAAGCTCTGCATGAACATACAGAAGCTCTGCATGTACTATGCAGAGGCTCTACATATGCAGAAGCTCTGCATGTACTATGCAGAGGCTCTGGGTCTTGGAGTTGTTGCTGTAAGTCAAGTGCTTATGCTTTTTGGCGCACAAGGCTTGAGAGTTCACGGAGATAGAGCGCAGGCTCTGTATAAATGGAACCTTCACTCTGAGTAAGAGCTCTGGTTCTTGATCTTCTGCATGAGAGCTCTTAGCCAGACAACTTCTATAATCTAAGTCCTATTGACTAGAGCAAGACACTTACTTACACTTTCACAAGTTGGGGTCTAACAATCTCCCCCTAAGTGTAAATAAGAAGAGCTCTTACTTGAATTACAAAACAGAAGTCTATTCGAAGACAGAGGTTAAAAGAAACCTCTGGTTTACATTAACTGTCTAATGAAGTACAATACGATTGAAATAGAAATTACATTGAATCAAAAATAAAAGAGTACTTACGAAAGATAAAAGGTCTAAACATTTTGAAGTCTAATGAACTTCCTAAGAAGTTCATGAAACTCAAACATATTTCGAATCGACCTTAAGATAATTTTGGTTCGCTTCTTTGCTCTAGGGGAGTTGTCTATGCTCCTGACCAGATTGTCTCTTATATAGCGCAGAGTAGAGTTGGAGTACTTGTAATTTCGGTTGTCTCGAAAAAAGATCTTCTGTTTATGCTCATTTCGAAACACCACTCCTACTTCTAGTTCCACCAAAACCGTCCAGGAGGGGATGTTGTTGATGTCCTGCAAATCTTCATTTGGAGCAGCGACTGTCAGTTGATCCACTCCTAGATCCAGAGCTAGTTGGAAGTCGAACTTTCTTCTGAAGTCTAGCAGGTCTGTCATTGTTTGGCGAACAACAAAGTTGGCAACAACGTATTTGACTCCTTTGTCCTTCTTATGATCTGTGAAGTAGAACAGATCTAGAAGATCCCACAGATTCAGATTAATAAGGTCACAATATGTGAACCTACAGATCCATCCGTGAGACCTCTCCACTGTGTACTCGTGGAATACAATCTGATTATGCGCGAAGGTATGCTTCTTTATGTCAAGGATCTGCTTTATTCCATCAGCAAAGTGGACTGCAGTGATTGGCTGAGTGTAGCGATCTATGAATCTCTGCTTGATGTGCGCTTGAACCATAGGATGGAGACAGATCTTCTAGACCGGTGTCTCTTCTCTTAGGGTGTAGAGGAATTGGTAGATCTCCTCGCTCTCTGCCTTGTCCATAATGGGTTTGTCAAGGGGTGTTGGCATGAACATGGCATCCATACTTGCCTTGATCCTTTGTACACAATCATAATGATGCTTCTGTTTTTTCCCGCTGGTTGTGCCTTCTGTGTCCGCTCTGTTTGGGTTGACGAGCACGTGCTGCCTCATAGCAGGAGTGACAACCCTGGTCCCTTGAGCAGGGACCCTAGCTCTGTGGGTTTTTGGATGTGATGGAGGAGCAGCAACGGTGACTTCTTCTAGAGGAATGGCAACTGGAATGTGCAAAAGTGACAAATCAGTCACATTCACATCTACCACCTCTTCTTCTTCTTGTGCTCTGGTTGTAGGAGCAGTCATGTCCATTGCGTACTCTGTTGATGAGGACAGAGCCAAGTCTGAATCGTCTGATCCATAGACAGAGAGAAGATCTATAACTTCTGTAGCCTTTTGTGGCCCGGCTGGCTCTACCTGAGATACCATGGGCATCTTTCCTTTGCGAAGCGCTTCTGTATGATCTGGCGCTGGTTGGCTTTGTGTCCTCTACCTTGAAGGATTTTGAGCTGGTTGGCGTGGAGCAGAGGACGTAGGTGCAGAGGGGGCTGCCATAAGTGTTGCAATTGGAATAGCTGTATGATAGTTCTCCCCCTCTTGACGATTTTGAGATGGATCCATTCGTCGTCTCTTTGACGGTTCAACACAAGGAGATGGATCCATTCGTCGCTTGGGCCTTTGGTCCTCTGCTCAAGGCATTGACTTGATCGTCTCCTCTATAACTTTGAGAAGTTCATCGACTGCAACTCCAATATTTTGCATTTCATCGTCTGAGCGGTAATTGAATCGGGCAAGAGTATCGTTGATGTCCTTCGCTGCTTTTGTGGCTTTGTTGTTGAAATCCGTAGTGAAGTCAACCACCTTCTATAGAAGTCTGTCACCCAGAGCATTCATTGCACTCTGTGTGACATAATCTACAGGTACTCTCAGGGGAATGAAGGACTGGGTGTCATGAGATGTGGACGCCTCAACCCTCTGTATTGATGCAATGACCTGTTGTAAGGTCTCTGCATTGTGTTCCGTCAATTCCATGAGTGTATTGATATAAGAAGCATTCATCGTAGACTCAGCTCTTAATATTGCCAAGGATGCTCATATCTCATCCAAAGCAGGTGTAGAAGGGGACGACTCTGCACATGTGATGATGAGTTTTAGCTCTTCTAAGGAGCACCGTATAGAGGTGAAAAGGGAATGAAACTCTTCCCTAGTGACATATGCAGGTGGTGTAACCTCTGGTTCAACACATGGGCCAGAGTGAGTCCTCATTCCAGGGACACCTTTATTCATGACTTGATTGATGTTAGTCGGGGAAGGACTTCCAGAGGATCCTAGTGGTTCTCCCTGAGGAGAATTCACTACCTCTGTTTTGTCAGGAAGAGTATCCACGGCTGGTTCAGAGCCAGCCAGAGGACTTTCCATGAGTGGACTTAGAGACTGGTTGAGAGTCTCCAAGCCTTGTGCACCTATACCTTGCTCTGAACAAGGGTGGGAGTCTACACGTGCAGAGGAAACAAATTCCTCTGTAGGGGAAAGTGGCGTGATATGGGGAGACATATCACTTATGTTTTCAAAGGTTGCACCCTTTTGAGAGGGTGTTCCCTGTGGTGAGGCTTCCCTTTGGTTGATATAACCAGAGGCAGATGAGACCTCTGGTTGGATAGGCTGGCTAGGGTTCAAGGTGTGCACCTCTGTTGCAATGACTCTTGTGTCTCGACCACCGGAGTCAGATGATTCGTTTGCACTGGGAGTTGGGGTGGTAAATCGAATGTGCCTATTTGTCCTAGGTTACTCTGGCTTGCCCTGAGGCAGAGCAGCTACTGCACCTCCTCCCTCTGCTTTCTCTTCTTCCTCACTCTTTTCTTCTTCACTCTCTTCTTCTGTACTTTCTTCTTCTTCTTCCTCACTTGTGTAAGACCTTGCAGCATCGTCGTAGTGCTCTTGGTCATCCCCTTGGTTTGGACTAGAGGAGTGAGCCAAGGTTTGACGAGCTTCTTCCTCTGCTTTGAGTCTGGCCTCTTCCTTTAGACGTGCGATCTCTGCCTGGCGAGCTTTTTTTGCTCGCTCCTCCTCTGCTCTAACATGAGCAACCTCAACCAATCTCTCTTGCTTTGCTCGCTCGACTTCTTCCTTTTTCTTTCTTTCCCTCTCTAATTTCTTTTTCTTAGCCTCCTCTCTTTTTCGTTGTTTCTCCCTCTCTTGCTCTACGCGTACCCTTTCTTCCTCTGCTCTCATCCTCTCTTCACCTGCTCTCATCGTCTCTCCATCTGCTTGAGGCCTTAATGTGTCCTCAGTCCTCTATTCTTTATCGGCTGTTCCCATGCGTAACGGGGTTCGAGGAACTGGTTCTAGTGTCTCGCGTATACGTCTGTACACTCTTCTGATCTCCTTTGACTTCATATAACTCATGAGCCTCTTTGGAATTGGCCTCTCTGCTTCATATCCCTCCTTGTTCACTGTAGACCGGTATTGAGTGAGCATGTTCACCTTGTGTGCAGGTAGAAGGCCCACATCAATATTGTTGTCATCGAGAGCAGGTCTTAAGAGAAGACCTAAGAATCATGGAAATAGTAAAGATTACAACTGTCTTCCTTTGGCCACTTCTTGACACTTCTTGGCCACGACAGCCTTGAACTCTGTGTAGAGTATCAAGGAGTAGTCGAGAGATAAGTCGAAGAAGATACCGTAGACGATTTGATGAACATTTGTTGAGCACATATCGAGGCTCCCTATCTTCCCTGTCAGTGATCTGTTGACCAATGTGAATAGTGTGTTCCACATTGGTGGAAGGTATTGTTGACGATATTGGGATGGGTACTGGATTGCCCTGTTGTACCCCAAAAACTTCAAAAAGGCCACTATCTCGTCCCCAGATGGGAGAGGGGCGTACTCAGAAAGCTGGAGGTCGGTTTTCGTTAGGATTTTAGGAACCCGCAAAAACATGGATCTTGAAATACGAACAGTAAAAAATTCTTGGGCGGCAGAGACATAGAAATCTCCTACGATTCCTCTTTGAGATTCAGTTATGGCACAAGATTGCCAGTATTCTTGAGTGTACCTTTTAGGAGGACACGTGTCACGCTGGGGTTTGGGAGGGAAAAAGAAAGAAGCAGCAAAAAGGGGACAGCCTGTTTTGTGTCAGGCGCGTGGTTTGAGTGACGTCAGAAATGATTTGAAATGAGGATTCATTCCAAGTATCTTGGTGAAGACGTTTCCCAAAAAAATAATTAAAATCTCATCTAATTGTAAGATTAATRCTAATTACGAAGTTTTGGTCTTCTAAAAACCCTTGTTGTATAGTTTTTAGTCACAAAAGCTGCAATTTTGTATAATCTAAAAATTTGTTTCAATTAAGATGAGTTTTATGTTTAAATTTTTTTTTTTGCATGGAACCAGAGGAGCTCTAGTTATTCATGACAAAAAGAGTGGGTAACCAAAGGAGCTCTGGTTATGCATGATAAAGTGGGTGGGAAACCAGAGGAGCTCTGGTTCTTCATGACGAAATGTTGGATTTGCTTGTTATGGAGAATTTGGTTGACAAACTAGAGACTCTGTTCAAATTTAGCAATCCATGTTTATAAAACCAGAGGAGGTCTGGTAATGTAAACATATGTAGCATTTTATAAAACYAGAGGCTCTGGATAGTAGAACCAGAGGCTCTGGATGGAAAATGCAAGTTTACTAATGTAAACTTTTTGCTCCCCCTCAAARGATGCATGGAGATATGAAATTGAAATGTAAAAACTCCCCCTAGAAATAGTAAGGAGTTTACATTTTGGATGACCAGATGCTCTGGTCTATACAACCAGAGGCGCTGGTTGTGAAGGATTTGAAATCCAGAGGCTCTGGTCTTTAGDACCAGAGGCTCTGGTTGTGAAGGATGAGTAGATGAAGTGTGAGAAGAAGTGAAGACTTGCTATCAAAGAAATCAAAGTCACAGGCTTTGGTCTTTAGAACCAGAGACTATGTTTGAGATCAATATAATGCAAGTAGGATGGAAACCAGAGGCTCTGGTATTTGGAACCAGAGGCTCTGGTCTTTGGAAACACTTAGTCATATAAATGATTTTAGAGAGCAAGGACCAGAGGAGCTCTGGTTTCAAAAGGGGAAGAGAAAATGAGATTCAAAAGCAATGGATGGGGTCCAGAGGCTCTGGTCTTTAGAACCAGAGCCTCTGGTTGGAAAAGAAATAAAAAGGGAGTTGTAAGGAAAAAGTTTACTTGTTGTCAAAGAATCTTAAGCCAGAGTCTCTGGTCTTTAGAACCAGAGGCTCTGGTTGTAAGGAATAATAAATAGCAAGTAAAGGTGGAAACCAGAGGCTCTGGTCTGTGGAACCAGAGGTTCTGGGTGGGAGAAAAAAAATACTTGATAAGAAATACCAAGTATGTGCTTTGAACCAGAAGGGCTCTGGTTACCTTTAGAACCAGAGGGGCTCTGGTTACCTTTAGAACCAGAGGGGCTCTGGTTGCAAAGCTGAAATTTTGCCAATAAATCTAAGTGATTCTATATGGCCAGAGGCTCTGGTCTTTAGAACCAGAGGCTCTGGTTTAAGATACTTAAAGAATATATGGCTTTGTCATTGTATCACTTATTGGCATWACCATGAGATATTGAGAATCGATGGCTAATTGATAATTGCCTTTAAGTGGTGAGATTCAACATACCCATCTTGCTGACTAGAAATAAAAAACGTTTTTCATCAAGAGCTTTTGTAAAAATGTCAGCAAGTTGAATCTCAGTTGGAACAAAGTACATTTATATGTTACCTTTTTCAACATTATCTTTCAGAAAAATGGTACCTTACATCGATGTGCTTGGTCTTGGAGTGCTGTACTGGGTTCGCAGAGATTRYTATGGCACTCTTGGAGTCACAGAGGATTGGGATTCTTTCATAATTAAAGCCATAGTCCTTAAGCTGAGTCTTCATCCAGAGAACTTGTGAACAACAACTAGCAGCATCAACATATTCTGCTTCTGCTGTAGATGTTGATACACAATTTTGTTTTCTGGAGGTCCAATTTACTAGCTTGTCCCCCAAGCGTTGACAGCTTCCAAACGTACTCTTTCTGTCAAGCTTGCATCTTGCATTATCTGCATCTGTGTAGGCTATTAGATCAAAGCCAGAGTCCTTTGGATACCAGAGACCCAATGAAGGAGTTCCCTTAAGGTATCTAAAGATCCTCTTGACTGCAGAAAGATGCGATTCTTTGGGATTCGCTTGATATCTTGCACAAAGACATGTGRCAAACATAATATCAGGTCTACTAGCGGTTAGATACAGGAGGGATCCAATCATGCCTCTATAAGTTGTTACATCGACAGATTTGCCTGATGGATCAGCAAATAACTTAACTCCTGTAGCCATG